TGAGATATAATCAGCGAATAAAATAATTTGATTTGATAGTCAAAATAATTCTGAATAAACAAGAATTTATTTATCGTTGATTTACAAGCTTAGCTTATTTTTGTTTCTTTTTTGTTTCTTTTTCTTGCAAAAAGAAAAAGGAAGAAAGTAAAAGGAAAAAGAAAAAGCAAAAGAAAAGAAACTACTTTTATTTTCATTCTGTCTTATCAATATCTATCTATTAATTAATTAATTAATTAATTTATTTATTTATTTATTTATTTGTTTATCTTTTTATTTGATTCATTGAGATATAATCAGCGAATAAAATAATTTGATTTGATAGTCAGAATAATTCTAATAATTTAATTCTAATACTTAATAATTTTATACTGTTATATTGCTAGTAATTTCTTACAGGTGTTTTGGCAGTACTACTTTCGGTGTTCTCAGAATCGAGCTTGTTCCACTTAAGAAATCATTTTCGTTTGCCAACATGGCCCTCTTTGCAAACATTGCCCGCGTGATACAGCCTTTGATAATAATAAGACTGTCATGTAGATATAGTAAACTCTAAAGGTACATTCGTAATATAAAAATACGCACGTGTTTGAAGGTAAAGTGGATAAATAAAAATAGTGAAAAGAAAAAAAAAGTAATAATAATAATAATAATAATTTAAAAAAGAAAAAGAAAAGGAAAAAAGAAAAAGAAGAAAGAGTAAAAGAAGAAAAAGAAAAAGAAAAAGTAAAAAATGAGAAAGATATTAGCGAAGTAGATCTTGCTCGTCGTTTGAGAGATATTTAGAAAAGAAAAGGAACAAGAGAAAAGAAAAAGTAGAGAAAAAAAACGAGAAAAAAAAAAAAAAGAAAGAAAAAAAAAGAAAAAAAGAAATATTTCTTCGTAGTTGTCGCAGAATAATGAAACATACGATTCGATTATCGTAACAAAACTAGTCGTTTAATGAATCATATCATTTTACGATTGCGTCTTCTACCGATTCGCGGAGGCGTTTACTCGAAGGTCAGAAGAACTTAAATGATATCGAACGATCGATTTAACGACGCTATTGTCGGGAACGTAATTCATAGTTTTATTACTGTGCTAGAATAGAGACATCGACGATTTGAAGTTTGCATCGTTTTAAGCGAGCAATATGCAGTCTTATTGCAATCATTTCCAAGAGAATTATGTATATCCTTTTTTTTTCTTTTCTTTTTTCTTTCTTTTTTTCTCTTCCTTTTTTTTTTGTTTTTTTTTTTTTCGTTTCCTTTGAATAAATCGCACATTGGTGATGATAATAAATCGTCATTTCCAAGTACTCTCAAAGAAATATAATAAGCGTGCTTTTGAAAATATCTAAAGGAAGGCGAAGCTTTATTCGTTAAAAAAGAGAAGAAAAAAAAAGAGAGAGAGAGAGAGAGAGAGAGAGAAACAAAGGAAAAAAAAAAAGTGAAATACTTCTAATCTGCAAAATTTAATCTGCAGCGTGAAAAATATTGACCATCTCGTTCGCTTTATCATCTCCACGGCAGTTCCGACAAAACTTTTGCAATTCATCTTAATGGCCAATGCAAATATAAACTATTAGTTCTCGTTGGACTCGTTTCTCTACTATTTGTCTTTATAGTTCTGTCGTTTACTAATCCCCCACCCTTTTTTCTCATAAACTCTAACTCTTTCTAAGATACTATCTATCTATATCTATCTATTTATCTATCTATCTCTCTTTCTCTCTCTCTCTCTCTCTCTCTCTATATATATATATATATATATATATATCTTTTCGTGTATAGTAATCTTTTTTGTATTCAGGTTAAACTAAAGAAAAAAGAAAAAGAAAAGAAACAAAAAAACGACATAAAAAAAAGGAAGAAAGAGAGATAGATAGATAGAGAGAGAGAGAGAGAGAGAGAGAGAAAGGAAAAAAAAGAGTCTAGACTAGAACACTAAAGTAACCCGTACAATCTTGAACGGCGTCAATGGAGATCGTAAAGTCTATTACCGGAACGTACTGGCTCCAGCGTCAATCTAATCGTTGATTGACAGAACATCCTAGATGAGAGAAGAAAATTGTTCTGTACAAATTTCTAAAGGAAACGAGAAGTAAAACAAAGACAGAGAGAGAGAGAGAGAGAGAGAGAAAGAGTTTTCTCTAACTGGGTCAAAAAAAATCGATAAGACATTACGGAAATTAAGTATGAAAGCGCGCGAAGGTTATACAAGAAAAAAAAAAAAAAGAAAAAAGAAAAAAGAGAACAGGAAAAAAAGTAAAAGAAATTTTTCCCATCCACTTTTCAAAAACACGAGAAAGAAATGGATCCGCAAGATTTTTTACAAGCGTCATTTCATGCTGCGCAAGCAAGATGCCAATAATATTGCGACCTATTGCAAAATATTTACTTCTGGTTTGCTTTCGTCACTTTGATATTATAGCACATACTACATGCGAAATTTGAGAAGGATTGCAATATTACAAAATTGCTTAGACACGTACATACTTAAATATACGAAGAGGAGAAAAGAAAAAGAGAAAAAAAAAAAAAAAGAAAAAAAGAAGAAGAACGAATTACAGTGATTAATCGTAAATCTTAAATAAATATTATCTCCCTTCTAAATAAATATCAAAAACATAAATTTTATTATATATATATATATTTCACAAAGAAGAAAACAAAAAGGGATAACGAGCATAGAAAATAATTTCAAGCTTGTAATAATCGAGACATAAAAAACAGTTTGAAAGATCACCGTGATCATTAATCAAGAGAGATATCGAAAGTGATTGAAATGACTAAATTAGCACCGGCCTTGCATCTATTTCCGTGCGTTAATTACGACCCAGTAGGTATATTCATATATACATACTTAAAACGTACGTATTCTCTCTCTCTCTCTCTCTCTCTCTCTCTCTCTCTCTCTCTCTAGGCACATTCATACACACACACACATACACACACAAACAAATGTACATACATATATTCCTACATATGTACATAGCTCGCGTGATGTAACACACGATGCACAGAAAACATTTGAAAGTGACGTTTTACGATCGAACTAATGCATATGCGAGATGAACTATAAAAAGAAAAAAGAAAAAAAAGAGAGAGAGAGAGAGAGAGAGGAAAAAATAGAAAGAAAAGGTAGAAAAGGAAAAGAGGGAAAAAGAAGAAAAAAAAAAAAGGAGAATTCCGTTCACGTGGCTATGGAAATATACATTATTCCTATTGGCAATCAATTTTGAAATCTTGATCCGTGATCGGTGGTACGAGAGAAAGAAAAAGAAAAAAAAAGAAGAAGAAGAAGAAGAAGAGGAAAGAGGAAATAAATAAATAAACGAACGAACGAACGAACAAACAAACAAACAAATAAATAAATCGATGGAATTCGTTGCATCGATGAAGTTCAACATCGTGGGTATATAAAAGATAGGTGACGAACTTTTTTTCGCGAGGTCGTTCTGTTATTCTTAAAAGGTCGACTTATAAATCATTCATAAGCGACTTGTGTAACGAGTCGTGATTAATTATTATTATCTCTCTTTCATTCTCTCTTTCTCTCTTTCTCTCTCGATCATACAAACACATACAAATATACATATGAGATAGAAAAATTGGTGAGAGCAAACCGTGTGAAACATAAAGTTGGGCCAATGTTTCTTCTCGCTATTCTCGTCTATCAAACTCGACGTTGAAGCTATCATCTCTCGGCTGACTAATTATCACAAGTCCGAGACGAATTAAGTACGGTCAAAACTCGTACACAGGATGTACCAAAGGGATGTACCAAAGATCCAAACGAGCTTATCTTTGCCCTCGATCTCTTCCCCTCATCCTTCTTCCTTCTCCTCCTCTTCCTCCTCCTCCTCCTCCTCTTCTTCCCTCCTCCATCTCTTGCTTCTTATTCCTCTTCTTCTTCTTCTTCTTCTTCTTCTTCTTCTTCTTCTTCTTCTTCTTCTTCTTCTTCTTCTTGTTCCTCTTAAACGTTTCTCTCTTTACTTTACCGGCAGGATGCAAGTAACATAAGCACGTATCAAAGACGATGGGCGGACTTATTCTTCTTATCTCTTGTCATTAAAAGCCTCTTGCGACATTATTTGCATTTCCTCGCTAGAAAATGTTAAAGTTGACGGATCTCAAATCGATTAGATTCGAGAAGGATGGACTTGATTTTAAATATATATAAATATATATATATATATATATATATATATATTAATAAAATTTATGTATATATATATATATATGTATTTATGTATATATATATGCAATTTATGTATATATATATATATATATATATTAATAAAATTTATGTATATATATATATATGTATTTATGTATATATATACGCAATTTATGTATATATATATATATGTATTTATGTATATATATATGCAATTTATGTATATATATATATATATATATATATATATATATATACATATATATATATGTACGTGTACGGATGGATACGATGATGAGAAATCAATTAAGAATATAACATAGTTTTATAAATAAATGAATCAGACAAAGAGAAAATATTTCTCTTTCAAAACGATTGAAAACATTATAATCGTAGAAATCGAAAGAAGCGAAAAAGGGGAATGAGAGAGAGAGGGGTGGGGGTGGTATTTATTATCGTCGACGAACAAAAGAAAAAAGTAAAGGAGGTCTGACGTTAAAAGGTTAGAGACGAAAGATTTTTTCCTTTTTTTTTTTTCTTTTTTTGCAATGACAATTAAGAAAAAGAAGTAAAAAAAAAAACAAAAAAAAAAAAACGAAAGAAAAAAAAGAAAGAACATTTTCTTCTTCTCAATTCAATCCGCGAGACACGATAAAAGTGAATAAAAATTTAGTTGTCGAGGTGAAACTAATTGTGGGAGATATAAAATAATAATAATAATAATAACAAAAAAAAAAGGAAAAAAAAAAGAATAGTACATAGAAAAGAGTTTAACCTCTTTGAACGAACTTTATTATTATATGGCGAAAGTCAAGAAAGCAACCGTCGCATTACAGATCGAGATTAGCAACGACAAGGATTGGCAGGAATTATTAGAACGTCCTGGTCTAACATTAGTTGACGTTTATTCCGAATGGAGTGGTCCTTGCGTAGCTATGGTTGGCATCCTACGAAAAATCAAAATGGAGGTTGCGGGTGAAGCGATAAATTATGCGATAGCTAAGAACGACGAGATCGAAGATCTTCAAAGATTTCGTGGCTTCAGTGAACCAGTATGGATGTTTATTCAGAATGGTAAAATGGTTAACCTCATATTTGGTGCCGATGCGCCGATGTTGCAAAAAATATTGTTGGCAGAATTTCGAAGGGTCCAAGAGGATTTACCACCCGTTTGGGAAATATCACCCGAACAGCGTGGTCCCAAAGAGGAAATTCGATGGCAAAAGGAGGAAGCCATAAGGTTGAATTTGTCATTTATTTATCCTTTTTTTTTTTTTCTTTTTTTTTTTCTTTTTTCGTAAATAATTGTAATCCTACGTATTATAGAAAAATAAATTCTTCGTACGTTTATGCATTGTGCGAGATCTTTTAAAAGTGTTACGATTTTTTTTTTATTTATTTTTTTTCTCTTCTTTTTTTCTTTTTTTATCTTCTCTCTCGTACAACCAACCATAATCAAAGTTCTTCAGATTAAATACATCGATCCTCTCTCTCTCTCTCTCTCTCTCTTTTTTTTTATCGCGTTAACGTTAGAACGACGAATATATGAGATAAAAATATTTTATAAAGAAAATTGATCGAGGATAAGGAGAAGGAAGAGAAGGAGACTAAGGAGAAGGAAGAATACGAAACGTTTATGGAACAAATGATGTTAGAACTTAGTGAATTGTTTATCATTGTTATGTATCCGTGGGTATTCAAGGACGAACAAGGTAATCCAAAGATCAAAATGCAATGTCCACCGTATACAGAATTGGTACGTGATCTTTTACGGCAAATATTCGATGTTCAAGAGGAAATAAGGATTGAGCTTGACGAGGAGATTATAAAGAAAATGTTCGTTGAGAGTAACGTCGTAATTACGAACGAAATTGTCGCAGGTCTAACGTAAACAAAACAAACAAACAAATAAACAAAAAAAATATATATATATATATATCAGATTTAAAAGAACACAACGTTAATAGAACTCGAATATTATTATTTATCATCGATCGTTCCATTATTTTTTTTTTCTTTTTTTTTTTTTTTTCTTTTTTTTAGGCTTAACCAATGGCAAATGTATGGCCATTAGAATGAAAAGTAGACCACCGCCGATCGATTGGCCTGTTCCTTATCCTTTCACATGCCCGGAAGATGTTCCACCTGAAAAATGTCCTGTAAGGGCCATAAACGACATTGAAAATTATTTTCACAGTTTATTAGACAATCAGTCACGTAGAACAACGATAGTTGGTGATCTATTAAAAATGCCAAAAGAATCGATAGTTGGTACATATATGGAAAGATATACGTACGAGTACGAAGCTGATCCTGAAGATGAAGATGATATAGATAGAATTGATCCACCTATTTGGGCACCTAATAACGTAATAATCATATCTATCTTCACTATGACGTGCAATATTTTTCTTTTATCTGTTCGATAACAATGCGTTATGTTATATTTAAGAAAAAAAAAAAAAAAAAAAAAAAAAAAAAAAAGAATTACATTCGATTGTTAGGCCAGAAGTAAAGTACACGTATTCCTGACACTATTCCCAGAGTACATGGCCGAAAATCATTATTACGAAATACCAAAACCACCACCGCCTTTATGTGCCTTTAAATATTATGCCAAGAAGACGGACGATTTGAAGATTAGCGTTGAAAGTTATCCAGAAGCCATTGAATATTTTGGTGCCTTTTTGTTGGACGAGCCTATCCTAACACGAAAGATAGCTGACAGTATTGATGAGTTTAAAAAAAAAGTTAGATTTACAATTAAATTCATCTTTGTTCATATATATATATATATTTTTTTTTTCTATTATAAAATTATTAAATGAAAGGTGCCGAAACCAACGTTAGAGATCTTCGTAGCTGTCATTAAAAAGATAAACGAAGAAATTTTCTTAGGATTTGCTGGAATCAATCCTTATTTTGCCACTGAGGACGAAGATGAGGTAAAAAAAGTGATTGCCAATTATTTCTCAGAGACGACTACTGAGGATTATTATTACGAGATAGAAGAGGATACGGAGGAACAATATTACGAAGGAAACATTTATTATTAGCTCGGAACGAAGTAAATGTATGTAGATATGTGTGTGCGTGCGTGTGTATAAAAGGAGCGTGTAAAATAAAAAAGAGGAAATAATACAAGAAAAAAAAACGAAACGTGTATGGAGGACAGATGGATGTAAAAAAAAAATTTCTTTCCACGTGGCACTCCGTGCACATTCGTCGATTAGCTTCGATATTATCATCGATAAGATCGCAAAAAGAATAATAATGTGGGAATGAAATTAAAGTCTTTTAGAATCGTACGTGGGTGGTACGTTTTGAAACATCATCGAAAATCAACGCTCGTGATTATTCCAAGGTTAAAGATCTCTGGAATCATTTATCGAATTAAATAAGTTATCATTGTTTGTCGAATACATACATACATACATACAAACATGCATACATATATATATATATATATATATATATATATAAGATATATATATATATAATATATATATATAGGGAGAGAGAGAAAGAGAATAAAAGCTAATAAATAAAATGCAAACTCCTTAAAGCATAGTTCTTTTCATTCAGAAGCTCAATAGTGACTAATCTTTTATCGTTTGGATTGACCCAAACAATTGAACCATTAACCGTTTCAGACTTTTATAATGTGCATATATACTAAATCATCGAGCCAATCGACCATTTTGATTTATATTTTTGGCCTTTCGATTTATACGATATTACAATGATCGCCGGTAACTCGAAGGGGAAAAGGTGAAATTATTATATATATATATATATTTTTTTTTTGTAATAATTTGTACCATATTTTTTCTTTCTTTTTTCTTTTTTTTTTTGTTTTTTTTTTTTTTAGATTTATATCACATATATATCGTATTTCTTTTTATTTATTTATTTTTGTTTTTTTTTTTTAAACGTAATATATAAATGTAATACTTTAGTATATAAATGTTGAACTTATAATAATATCGTTATAATAATATATGTTGAATTATAATATCGTTATAATAATATATGTTGAATTAAATAATATCGATTAAATCGAAATGCGAGCGCGTAGAGATATCCGTTTGATATTACCAATTACGAGTTTTGCGATTTAAATAAAAAAAAAAAAAAAAAAAAAAAAAAAAAAATCAATCTCGTATGATAATTATCTATGTAAATTTCATAAATTACAATCTAACGAAATTATTTTCCATTCGTTAATTAACTTATCAAACATAATGACTCTCGTTTTCTAATTGCTATGAAATTTTTTTCCATCCATATTAAAGTAACAAAAAAAAAAAAAAAAAAAAAAAAAAAAAAAGGAAAGAAAAAAAAAACATACAATTCCATTTACATATATAACATTCTAATATTGATATTTATTATATCGAAGAACAATATACGTATGTATCTTACCTCTATCTATCTATAATGATGAAGTATAGAATGAGTTCGAGAATGTTAAATCCTTTTTGTATCTTTGCAAGATCGTTCGGTAGCGCCGGAGGCAGTAAATTGCTTAAAGATCGGTAATTATTGCACAAGCATTACATAAGTAAACAGATGGCTCGCGAGATGTAAGAATAAGAAAAAGAAGGCAGAAAATTACAGCCATGGGGAGTAATTCGCATTCATCGCGTGAATTATGTGCCATTAACGATCTCCGTGTCTCCATCCTCTCACTCTCTCTCACACTCTCTTTCTCTTTCTCTCTCTCTCTCTCTCTCTCTCTCTCTCTCTCTCTCTCTCTCTCTTTTTTTTTCGTCTTCGTCGAGCAATTTAATCGTACGTTTCGCTACCGATGTTTTCTTTTCTTACGTTTCATCGATTCAATTCTCTCGTCGTTTTTTCTTTTTTTTTTTTTCTTTACTTTGTATTTCTTCTTTTTCTTATTTGTTTATTATTTTTATTTTTTCTTTATCTTTTTCTCTTTGCGCAATTTATATCTCCTTCCTTAAATAACGTGCACTTATATGGAATACAATTTTTTTTTTCTTTTTTTTTTTTTTTTTTTTTAATTAATATAAATTATATCGCGAGTTTTTAAATGTATATATAGTAATAATGATAATGATAGTGATAATAATAATAATAATAATAATAATAATAATATGC